CAATCACTGCTTCTGCCCCTCCACAAACTCCAATGCCGCACTCCGATCTACCACGTCGATGCTGCTTGTCTTGTTGCTGTAGCTCACTCCGTAGCACTTCTCCGCCACGTGCACCATCTCCGGCCGGAACGTCGTGCAGATGAACTGCCCGCCCCCCTGCTCTGGGTCCGGGCTGGCCGACAACTCCTCCAGCATCTTGGCCACCGCCGTGCGGTACTGCGCGTCCAGGTTCGCATCGATCTCGTCGAAGAGGTAGAAGGGTGCGGGGTCGCATTTTTGGATCGCGAAGACGAGCGCGAGAGCGCAGAGGCCTGGGGGGGTTAGTCCGAGTCCGTAGGAGAAAGAATGGTGGAGATGAGAGGAAATATCGGGAGGAAGGGGAAATAGATGGAAGGGCGAAACACTCACTCTTCTGTCCCCCGCTCAACTGCTGAATCCGCTGCTGCTCATCATGCTTGCTATTAAAGCTCACACTAATCCCCACCCCCACATAATTCTCCACGCTCTCCTCCTCGCTCTCCTCCTCCTCGCGCGCGGCCGCCGTCTGCCGATCGCTGCGCCGCTGGATGATCAACCGCCCCTTGCCCGCCGGCACCAGCCGCTCGAACACGATCGCGAACTCCCGCGACACCTGCTTGAACGTGCGCTCGATCGCCGCGTCCTTCTCGTGGTCGAGATGGTCGATGAGCCCTTCGATGGCGGCTTGCGATCGGTCGAGGTCTTTGCGGCGGTTTTCGAGGTTGTGTTTTTCTTTGGTGTGGTTGGCGTATTGCTCGAAGGCTTTCTTGTTGACGTGCGTGTATTTCTTGAGGGCGTTGTTGACTTTGTGGAGTTGTTTGATGGCCTGGTTCCATCCATCATCAGTTTTTAGTCGAAATCACGTAGATTGTAAGATGTAGGTGAAGCGAAGTATAGGTTGAAGGAAGCAGACTTACCCGATCCGAGTCCATCCTCTCATACTTATCAAACGCTTCCTCCGGCAACACCCCCAGATCGCGAATATTCCGATCACATTCCTCCTTCTTCTGCACCAGTAACGCCTTCTTCGCGCTACTCTTATCCATCCGCTTCCGATGCCGCTCCACCATCCGCGCCAGCTCCTCGTGCCCCTGCTGCTTCTCCGCCCGCTCACGCTGCCCCTCCTCCAACTGCGTCTTCGTCTGCTCCATCTCCGCCTCGTTGTCCTCCAGCTGCCGCTCCAGCGCCGCCAGCTTCTTCTGTGCCCGCTTGAGGTCGTGTTGCCGCGCCTGGAGCCGCTCGGCTTCGTTGCGGCCGCCGCCCGGTCGGTCGCTGGAGGAGTCGACGTCGCGGGTCTGTAGTTGCTCGACGCGGAGGCGGAGGTTTTCGCGCAGTTCGGCTTCGATGGCTGATTTGCGGCTTTCGAGTTGGAGCACTTGGCTGTTGAGGTCGGTGTATTTGGGGTTCAGAGTCTGGATGCGTGAGCCGAGTTGTTGCAGCTGTTGGGTCTCTTGCGCAGAGATTCCGCTCTTGAAATCACCGCCCAGTTCGTCTTCAAAGCCTTGTAGCTGATCGCCAAGCCTCTTCGCCTGTGCCTCTGTGTTTGCCTTCGCTTTGTGCTTCGCTTCCAACTCTCCCTTCTTGCGATGCAAGTCCTGAGACTTGCTTCGGAGCTCCTGCTGCAATGACGGGTAAGATGAGCTCAGATGCTCCCGCTGTTGCCTCATGCGTTCGATGACACCGTATGCCTTCGTGATCTCCTGGTCTTTGCGCTCAATCTGTCGTCTGGCATCATCTAGCTTGTCCTGCAAATCGTCCTGCTCCTCGCGAAGCTGCGCCACTTTTCGCACCGCGTCTAGTCGAGAGTGTTGAGGGTCTTGATATCCGCCAGTCAGCGCCCCTTTCTTGTCTGCTCGGTCACCGTCGGGTGTGATGGCGTTAACACTGTGGCTTCTCGCGTATTGGGCGCAGATTTGTAGATTCGGGCAAACGATGGTCTTGCCGAAGACATGCTGGAATGCTGCATCATACTCATCCTCGTATGTGAGTTTCGACGCCAATGGGATAGCGTCTGATGCCTTTGGGAAGTTCGTGGACTTGTTGCGCAGCCGATTCAGCGGCATGAAGGTGACACGGCCCAGCTTTTCACGATTGAGGATCTCCAGCACTCTTGACGCCGTCTCATCCGTGTCGACCACATAATGGAACAGACTACTCCCGGCAGTCACTTCCGCTGCGACCTTGTACCTCTCGTACGGCGTAAACAGCTCAGCAAGTGTGCCATACACACCATCCAAGTTGTGCTCGCGTTTGATTCGCCGCACCGCTGCGATGCCACGGCTGGTGTTCTGGTCCATCATATGCGACAGCGATCGCTCTGCTCGATGGAGCTCGTCCCTCGCCCGTTTGTTGGTCGAGTTGAGCTTCATTTCCTCGCGCTGCAACTCTTTGCGCTGATCGCTGAGCTCATCGCGCGACTCCTTGGCCTTTTGCTGACCCTTCGCCCTTTCGTCGACATCGTTATCACGGTTATCGATCGTGCGCTGCAGATCGCTAATGCCCTTTTGGAGCGAGGCTATCTCGTTGCTGAGGGCTGCTATTTCTTCGCTGGTCTCGGCGAGGACAGCTTTGCTGGTTGCTGATGCGGTGTTGCAATCGTTGATTTGGGTCTGCAGGAAATCATCCCGGGCTTTTTTGCTCTTGAACTGTGAAGCACGGGCTTGCTTGCTATACAGAAGCTGTCGTGAATTTTGGGCTTCATCGAGCTGCTCCTTGAGCTCTTGTTCCTGGTTTCTCTTCTTGTTATATTCAGGAAGAATCTTCTGCAGTTCGTCCTCTCGTTGCTTGATCTGTGCGCGAACTTCTCGAAGCTCCCGGTCATGACGAGCTTTACGTTGTGCCGCAGCCGACTGTCCATCGGTCAGACTCTTAACGTCGAGCTCGATCTTCGCCTTGTCTTTGACATAGTCCTTCCGTTCATCCTCGAACTGGTCCTTTTCGGCCTTGAGGAGATCGAGTTGTTGGTTGAACTGCGCAATTTCCGAGTCAAGCTGATCGAGTTCGATCTGTCCTTCCACAAGGCGCTCTCGGTTCTCATCGGTCTCATCGACACCACGACTCCGCTGATCCTCGATTGCCTGCAGACTTTGAACAACCTCTTGCTGCTCACTGTAATAGATGCTGTACTCCAAGCAACGCCGTTCTCGATCCCTTTCTTGATACTCTTTCAGCTCTGCTTTTTCCTCTTCTAGCTCCGCAATTCGTTCCCGGATATACGTGAGCAACGCATCGATCTTTTCGCGTTTGCTCGCCGTATCCTCCATTAGCTTCAAGCTCTCACGTCGTCTTGTTTCATAGACCTGTGTGCCCGCAACCTCTTTCAATAGGCTCAGTCGTTCGGTGTCTTTCATGTTCGTAAGAGTAGTGACCCTGCCTTGAGGAACGATGTAGTAAGGATTCGAACGTGAAAACCCGGCCGACTCGAGAAGGTTCATGACATCGGACTTAGTGGCATTCTTGCGATCGAGGGAATACTCGTCTTTCTTCAGGCCAATGGTCCGGCGAAGCACGAGCTCCTCTTTGCCGGTGGGGAATCGCTCATCGCTGTTGTCAAATATGATCTCGACATATGCAGACATGACTGCAGAGCCAGATCCTTCCTATGAACTCAAGTCAATATTTCCTGCGCCGGGTGTCTGCGAAGTGGAAAGCTTACATGGAGCAGTGCTTGCCGCTCCTCGCGGCCCATCTGTGTATACGCGTCGCTGAGCACGAACCGGATCGCGGCGAAGAAGTTACTCTTCCCCGAGCCATTGCGACCGACAATGACATTGGTCTTTGGAGAAAACGGTTCAATCACCGTTTGGTCCTTGTAGCTATGGAGGTGTTAGTGGTAGTTCGCTGGTAGGGCTTGGTGGTATCGCGAACCTCTTGAACCCTTGAATGATGATTTGCTTGATATGCATCTTGTCAGCTTGTTCTGCAATGCAGCACGCGTCAAAGTAAGAGTCTAGGCGACCTAGTTGCCCTGCATCATGTACAAAGGAAGATCATTAATGAGGTTGACGCGCTTGAACGATGAGCGCGTTCGCGGACATCGGAGAGCAGCCAAGTGCGGGATGACGGTCCACTTTTATTATGCCTCAGGCTTCAAGGCTGAATCCGAGTTTCAAATCTACATGTATTATCAAGTCCCGGAGTTTTGTCGTAATCTGTCGCACGGGTAATTAGTGCTAAAATGGTTGGGAGTCAGGTGATTTGGTGACAGCAGCAAAGTAGTATTATTATTGTGTCAGTTATGTGTTCTATGTGAATAATTTCCTATGTTAGAAGCAGATAATTAGAGAAGATAGAAGAAGGAGATAGAAAAATGGGGCACAAGGCCACAAGGCACCAACGCATGTAATTAGTCAGCTTAGGTAGTTCCCCACATGGGCCTCGCTGAGAGGCCTGACGGGCGTATGAATCTCTCTCTCTCTCTCTGTTCTATGTGAATGCCCGGTTCCCTGGCCCTGCAGATACGAGACTCATGGCAAGATTATTAATGCAGTTTGTAGCCTTAAGTTAGTTAGGCTCCTAGATCTAATCCTTTGGCCTGTGACATAATCCCTACCCGGCTTAGTTACTAGTATTATTGTCTCTTAATTTAAATGGTCTCCAGTAACTAGTAACTACGTACCCGCCATATATGTATATAGATCCTGCGCAGCCCGCCCGCATAGGGAGCTCGACATCAAACATCCTAACTGAATGTAGGTGCTTATATGCTTGATGCTGACGAAGCGGTTCTAATCACCAAAGGTATTCATGTGAGTCAATCGGATATTTTGAAGCGTCTCGTCGGTTGCCTTTCACTTCTGTCTTCTCCGTATAATGAACAGCAAATCTGGAACTACGCCCACGTATCCGAGCTCTGGAAATTCCACGGCTGGATCAACGAAGAGGAATCCCAGCAAGCACGGCTGCACTACGGTGGCTATAGTATCAAAACCCATCTTAGCCTCCGCATCATCACACTCAAAACTGACCTCTGGTACCGCAACAACCTCTTCAACTTCATCAACTCCACCGACCATGACACCTCCGGAATGCTGCGATTCCTCATCGACGAGCTCCAAACGGCCGAGGATGCTAGCGAGCGCATCTGGATTCTAGGACACGTCGCCTCGGGATGGGATGCGAGGGGCAGCCTTCCAAAGCCCAGCGACCTGTTCTATCAGATCGTCGACCGCTTTTCTCCGCACGTCATTGCGGGGATCTTCTTCGGTCACACTCATGAGGACCAGGTCATGGTGTACTATTCAAACAATGGGACGGAGCAGACGAGCGAGCACGCGTTGATGACAGGTTGGATCGGCCCGAGTGTCACGCCGCTCACGCGTCTCAACTCGGGATTCCGGGTATACGAAGTCGATACGGGCGACTTCAGCATCTACGAGTCCTGGACTTTCTATACCGACGTCTCGACTTTCTCCGAGCTGCCAGAAACCGGGCCAACCTACCAGCTGGAGTATTCTGCGCGCGAAGAATATGGCTCCGTAGTTGGCTGGCCGGATGACGCGCCACTGCATGCTACGTTCTGGCATGCCGTGACGGAAGCCAGGGAGCGAGACCGTACGGTACTGGACAAGTTTATACGGTTCGAAGACAAGTCTAGTGGTCAGGGATTTGATCATTGCACGACGGATGAGTGCGCCCGTGCGAAGATTTGCTACATGCGGAGCGGGAGTACGGCATTGGGGGCGAGGTGCTCACGACTATAATGCGATTGACAAAATAGACCTACTTCTCGCGTGTTCATCCATAGAACGGGCTCGGATACAGTTCGGCCGCCTTCTCACTCACCACCTTGATGATATGCTCGAATGCATCATTCCTGGCCTGTTCGGTGTCGCCGCCGTTCACCAAGGCTTGCAAGGTCGCATATCTTTGGTAGAAGGCGCTGTACCGCTTGAAATACTCCACCGACCGACCAACATCTTCCTCGGAGATACTCGCGAGGGAATCCATTAGCATCCAAGCCGTCTCGTTTGCGGACGATCCGATCAAGGCCATTGGACCGCTTAAAAAACTCCCATGCTTGATTCCAAGCGTCACGTGCGCTGCCGCGATAAAATACGAACCCTGGTTAATGTCGTTGAACCAGGTAGTCGGAAGTTCCGATGAGTTGGCGTCGTAGATCTGCCGTTGCTGGCCGAGAATAGCCAACGAGCAGTCAAGAACCGCCCAGTATGATGTTTGGTAGTCTGGGTGCTTCTCAGGGTCCATGAAGTAATGACAGTGCAAGGCAAGCATCACTCCTCGGACAAACAACTGAAGCATCGACGATTGGATATGAGGACGATCCAGTGATTTGGGTCCGATTACTGGATTTCGCCGGCTTGAGACGCAAGCCAGCGATGCTTTCAACGATTGTCGGAGTTTGGCGTCGAATTCGAGGACATCTTTATATTTTAGATCGGGTGCGGCGGAATTGATGTTCGAGATAATTGCGCAGATGTCAGGTAATATCTCCGCCAACCGCGTCTGGAATGTGGATGTGGTATGCTCTGGGAAAGCGCCTTGTGGCGTATGTACCATGTCCACCGACAGTTGGTCCTCGTCGATATTTGCTGGTGGCCGAGTCGAATAGTCTTGAGGGCGGATAAGTGTCGGCATGCCGGATCCGATAGCGACATGCAAATCGAGAAACACGATCGTTGCCCATAGGCGTCTTCGCATCTCCTTCTCGAATGGGCTCATACCTTCCAGGGGCTCTGGATCTCGATGGAGTGATAGGCCCATTGCAGTACGCTGAACGAAGCCCATGAAGTTCCATAGCGTATCGCTATCGTTATGCGACACCATGTCGAGGACCTTGGCCACAGCGACCAACGTCAATGTTCGGACCGTAGTTAGCGTGGGCTTGAGCATAAAAGGAGTCCTTTGAAGCGCCTCTTGCGCTCCTTGAAGTAGATAATATAACCTCCTAGTTCGACAGGACGGTGGGACACACTCCATGTCGTTTGAAGCAAATGCTCCCAGCGCTAACATAATAAACAACTGGGAAAGCCAATCATCTCCCACCGTTTCACCATTGGCCATGAATCTGTCATAACGCTCCAAGAAGCTCTTCTCGTGCTCAACCGGGTAGATGACGTGGAATGTCCGGAAATATGTTTGCAGCAAAAATCGTACTTTGTCAGGATCCGGAAGGAATTCTAGAAGGTTGAGTTGGGTAGGACCTGCAAGGACAGTGGTACCGTTTCCAAAGGGATAGTTATGGAAACGCTTCGGGGGAAATCGCATCTTTAACTCCTTCAAACGCCGTTTAATCGTCCGATCCTCCTCGCGACTTGACCAGCCTACGGGCAGTAAATCGGCACTCTACAATGAGTCAATAAGACTGCTCATCTCTCAAGAAAAAATGGAGAAACTCACCTCCTTCAGAAGTAGGCCATAATGACTCCGTCCACCATGCCTGACTCGGCCATTACAATAAGTGAACACGGCATCCGGTCGACCTGTGTCCATAGGCTCCGGGCCTTCCTCAGGGGTGGCACCCGTCGTTCTCAATGATGTTTCGTCTCCAGGTGATGATTGCGGTGGAGTACTATCGTATTGGCAACTGTCTGCTCGACCAGTCTGTTTGCATCGGCTACACGGCTTCTGGCGGTCACAAGACACTTTACTGCGATGACAGCGCGAGCAAGAGAGAACCGTCCGCCTCCTCTTCCGCCCTGTGGGCCGGACCGGTAGCGAACGGGAAGTCGTGGGGTGTGAATCTCTGACTTGACGGTCTTCAAAAGAGTCAGGGGTTAACGTCTTGATTTTTAAGGTTTGGGATTCGGATGGCGACGGCATGATGAATCCGTTAAGTGCTATTCGGCTGATCGATATCGTTTCATCGGCTGGTAGGAAAACAAGAGAATTCAATCCGCGATATCACTGTAGACCGCCTGTCTATCTATATAGATTCTCGTCATTAGATCGATAAACAGTTGTCCTCCACAACCTCTGGAGAAGACCACGCGTTAAGTCACAGGATTCTAGCCTTGCAAGCAATAACTAACTACGGAAATAGTATTATTAATAACTAGTTACCGGAAATTGGTTACGTATGATGGCCGATGGGTCATGGATCATTGGATCAAGCACCTCATTAGTCATCCGCGGACTCATCCCGTCTCGACCATGAGTCATGTGCCATTCGAGTTTCGACATCACGACTTTCTGTTCAGTTTACAATTTACATGTCATCCACTGGGCCTCGCAGAGAGGCCTGACGGGCGTATGAATCTCTCTCTCTCTCTCACACACATATCATCCACCCGTGACCCAGGACAATTCTCTCAATACCGGTATCATGATGCGTTTGTCTCCCAAAGTTTGAAGGCGATTCTAAGACACAAACTCATCGGGTCCCTAGGTAGGTAAGTATCCCGAAACCGCAGTTTGTGGATATAGTCACCGCGTCAAACCGCAACAAGTATCTAGCACCCCTAACGGCTACCTCGGAACGGTCCTACCATCATACAAGCTGTTCAAGTCTCAGTGACCATTAGTGACGATTCTAAACGGCATGTAAACGCGCCAGAAGCGCATAGCCACTTCCTACACCCACAAATTCCTACACCGAAAGCCATCCGACAGTTCTCCGCTTTCATGAGAGAACCCGCCCATCAAGACATGAGCACAAGTGACAAGCAGACTAGTCGGCACAAGGCCTACCAAGGCCCCTCTATTACGCCTGGTCGTTACCGGTTTTCGGCGAGATACTTGTGGTCTCTTATTCCTGAGCGTTGCAAAATGTCATCAAAAAGACGCTTTATACGGCTTGATTTGCTTGTCCAGCTTTATTTCATTACTATTGTCACGAGATCGAATATTCTTTCCCTGCAAATATCTGCCGTCCCATCTTCACTGCTTTCTTAACACCGAAGTGTTTACTCGTGTCCATGGGCATGTCCGTCGCCGCTAGGACCTCCAGAGGGCTGGGGAATCTCAGGGGCTCCACTCGGGGTACCCTTTCCCTTACCCGGGAAGCCTTTCCCTTTCCCGGGGCCATCATCCTTCCCTTTGCCAGGGAATCCGCCCTTCCCCTTGCCAGGGAATCCGCCCTTCCCCTTGCCACCCTTCCCGTGCTCATGCCCCTTGCCCTTGCCCGGGAACCCGGCACCGTCGCCTTTTCCGGGGAACCCACCCTTCCCGGGGAACTTGCCCTTCCCCTTCCCCTTGCCGAAACCAGCGTCTTTGACATTGTCAGTATGTTGGTGTGTTGTAGGTAGGAGCAGGACCTTACCGGTGGCGGCCTCGGCGTCGGCATCAGTCTCGGCACCAGTCTCGGTATCGCGGGCAATCATGGCCGGACCAGCGACCTCTTCGATGGCAGCGCCATACGCTTCCACCTCGCGGGCCTCGACATCGACCGCGGCCATGGGAACGGCCATGGACAGAGCGCTAGGATGTGTGAGATTCAAGCATAGCAATCATCAGAGGGTTGTGTGGGCTCACCTGAAGCCCATAATGGCGAAGAGCGCCAACTTGGAGGAGCTGAGCATCATCTTGAATGAGTGAGTGCTTAAGGAGAGTCTTTGTTGGTCAAAGGCAGATGAAGAGCAAGGAATTGGTTTGCTTTAGTTTAGGTTTTGATTCTCGAAGCTGTGAGCGTAGGGAGTGCTTTATACAAGTTGTGCTCCTACGGAAATGCACTCTACATCGAGCGCATCCAAGGTATTCCCCATGATATCGAAATTGGCGCGATGCCTGGGAACTAGCACGCCATGGATTAACTCTCATCGACAATGAACAGTACAGATGCTCTGCTGTCAATTGCCGGATCACTGATCGCTAATTACATCGCGGATGTCATCATCCAGCACATGCGACACGCTGAATATGATACCAGATTGGCGTTTGTCCACCAATAGCCAACTTCTCCGCAGCCCGGTTAGATGGCTTTCGATTCTAGCCATGTTGATCTCACGATGATCCAATTTATAGCTTGACGGGTTGTCCCTGAGTTTCCACCTTAAAGAATGAATTATCCTATTCGTCTTGCCGACTGATTGGCCCCTGACTAGGGGGTGGAAACCTCCGTATATTGCGAAACCTGCCTCTTATCTATACAGAAAGCCAAGACTCATTCCCGCTGAAGATCAGGACATATGTGTCGTCTAGCCCGGCCTTTACACCTTTCCATATATGCCAAACAGGCCAATGGACGATCAAATTTCTATTACTTTACGGCTCACAAAAGCGTTGTAGCGGTTCGGGCGTTAGCAACTAAAGGCCTAATAAATGAACTTCTATTGCAAAGATGATGCAATTCCCGAGGACTTGGATGGCAAGAAAGGCACTGGTTCTGATATGGTACGACATTGTCTGGGCATTTCAATCTGAAACCGTCACCCTGAAACCTGCTAACTACAGCTTTGACATGTCCATTATTATGAAGATCACCAATTCACAATGCTCCGATTGCAGCTAAATCTGCGCTAAAAAGCTTGTATTCACTCAAATCTAGTATATTCCTCTCCACTTGCTTGTTTACCTGTTGGCGGCATCAGGCATGAGATAATGCCATACATTCACAGAGCGTCCACTTTAGGACCGGTAATGAGTGACTTCACATAAGCACATATATTGCTTGCAGTCCGAGCCTGTTTCGCATGTATAACTTTCCTACTGGCATCTATGGGTCTTCAATTCGCTATACCACATTTGACGCGGATTGACTTCTACAATAGCGAGAAAATCGCGAGTCGACTTGATCAACACACAATCGACATTGCGTGACTTCATTGGTATCCGCTTCGGCAAAATCATATGGAAAGGCAGTCTGGATAGGGCTATGGGTGACGATCATTGTCAACAAAGACTGCGCGTATGCATTCTGCTCTGGCGAATTGGACGTCTAAGGAAATTCCTGAGATTTAGCCCCTTTAACCAAACTCCGCCCTCTAGCCAACTTGAAGAGTAACGATCATACTCGACTCATTGAGCTTTCTTACTACAATTTTAGTCAATTAACTTGAAATATTTTGGCGTCCCGATAAGAATGACCTAATTATTTTCTAAAATCACCGGTTTCTTTCTAGTCGTTGGCTTTGTTCTTTTGTCTCTGTCGAGATGCATTCCTCACCATCAAAAGGATGTACCATGGCATTCCGAAACTTGAGTCCAGATTCTGAACCGAGTGAAGCTCGAGATCAAGTCGCTTTCTCTTCCAGAATGAAACAAAGAGGACTCAAGAGCGTCTTCAGCGGCCTTTCATTGGAGTTTTTGTTGTGGCCGTTTGCGAACATGATGGCTCCATCGTAGCGTTCATTCACTACCCGAGGACATTATACATTCATTGTATCTTGTTATGTGTCGCCCCTTCCGAGCCAGATGCGCTTTCAATCCTGTTAATCAGCTCCACTAACATATGGGACTGATTTTTTATCAAATTATGGACAATCTTCATTATGACAGGTCTTATTCTTGAAACGGTGTTGAGAAATTACCTCCACACCAATCAGCAGTACGAAGTAGCTCAGGACTGGACATAGCGGCCGTGGTTACCTGTGCGGTGTTGAAGGATGACGTCCATCGACTGGCTAACGTTACAGATGGTACAGCCGTCAATATGACCGGCATTCTGCGAGCTTTCCCGGGGTTCGGAGTAGAGGGACTGAGCCCGGAAAGTGCGCAGGAGTGCAGATGGATGAGGCAGAATTCATATGGTGGCAGGCCTGGTAGAAACTGCTCTTGGGAGGCCATCGCGGCGTTGATATATGGATCGAAGACTCATTGGCAATGGGTCAAGACAGAACATATGGCCTTCGTGGAACGGGTGATGGGTGATTCTAATCACCTACGGTACATTGCATACAGCAGGCTTCTCCGAACACTGGCCACATCAATTACCACAACAGCAACCGGACCGACCAACCCTGCGATCTCGAATATACGGAGGCTCTTATTTCCCGGTTATTGGACGTCCATCGAAATGTGTCCAATCACCTGCGATCGATATAAAATTCAATTAGTGATCTTTGTCCAAACAATAGATAAAACCGGGCTTACATCACGAGAGATATTTTCCGAAGGATCCAACAATGCAGCCCAGCGGGTATTATGGAAAACCAACAACCACTTTGAGCCTATATTCCCCCACTTCCAAGGTAATGATAATCCAGAAGGGCATAATTGGGCCGTTGGAGAACTCAGGATTGAGCTTCCAAAACTTCGAACGGACACCCATAGAGCTCCCGGGGATCCAAACCAGCCGAACACACGTCCGCTACAGCGAAAGATATGGTCAAGTAAAGCCGCGGGTCAGGGTGCAAATCAAGGGCCAACGACCGCGGGAACGTCATGCCGGGTGTTGTCGTATATCGTTTAGCCACCGGGGGGGTTTCCCGAGCCCCAAAGGAGGCATTTGTATTAAGTAGCACGCGCAATTCCACTGCCTATCGACAATGACCCTGGTAATAACGGTGGAGGAGGCGGAGTCGGAGAGGGCGGAGGTGACGGGAGAGATGGAGGCGGAGGGAATGCAGGCGGAGAAAATGGAGGAGGGGGTTACGGAGGTGGGGGAGGCAAAGGGGGTCCCAAGGTTCGAAAAACCGCCCAATCGAGATCGAACTCGATCCCAAAAGAGGTGAAGACGGAGAGGCCCCTGGAAGGTTCGCAAAATAACCCAATCCCGGTCGATGATAATTAAGCTGACTGCCAAGGGGGAAACGGCAAGAAAAGGCCACCACCAGATGGAGGGGATACGGATGGTCCGAAGAGCAAGAAGCCAAAACTAGGGGAGGGCGATTGGGATAGAGAGGGCTCCGCACCCCTCAAGGCCAATGCCAAGCCGCTGAGAACTTGGACAAGAGCGGAGCTCGAAGACGAGACGGCTAAGACTCTCCGGCCCATGGCCCATCAACATAACGTATACATTTACTCGAGGACCCGAAAGGCCATCACAGTTCTTACATTAACAGTGGCAAACTTGCCGAGAGGGAACTGAAGTTCCGGCGGTGCTGCATAAAAAGAACCAGAAACAGTAAGCGAAATGAGTAAGACGAGGACTGCGGACAAGAATGAATAGACGGTTTTTTAATTCTAATAGGACTCCGATATAAATGAAAGATGATAAGATATATGGTGTATGTCAAACTGAATGTGAGAATCTGATATCAAATCTCCAATGGAATTGAAACAAGAACTTTCGCCTTGGCAAGGGGAGACAAACTTCTTCCGCAGTACAACTTCCTGGAGATGTGATATTTCTCGTTCGTGTTTTGTTTAAGTAAAGGTACTTCGAATCAAGACTCTACGAAGTCCGGATTTCATCATCTAATTACTGCTGTCAACTGGAGGTTACAACTTAGCAGAAATCCGTCGTTTTTATAAACGCAACTGTGTCACGTCTGCAATCCGGTCAACTCCTCAGCTACCACCACCTCCTCCACCACCACGACATCCCACCAGATCTTCTATCCTCGTTCCACTACTCCTTTCACCAATCTTCACTCCCCTCCACCCGGAAGTCTCCTATATCTTCCCAATTCTCGCCTTTTTAGGCGAGCCCACATTCGCTCATCGTGGCGTCGTTAATCGAATCCCACCTAATTAACCCGCTCCGCGACCTTGGCAGCAGTCCCTTCATCTTTAAGCCGGACGGATCGCTCGCGTGGTCGACGACGCTTCGATCTACAGTCCGGTCAGCACGCGAGATATCGGCCAATCTGGTGCGGAATATCCCCGACGAAGTCCTCGCCGTGTTACCGGAACAACTACGGGGCATATTGAAAGAACCGGCACAACCTCCAAGCACCCTCTCCCGGCTTCTCGAGTCCGTCTACGACCCCACGACCCTCATCAGCATCTTTCTCCTCTTCCTTACTATCGTCCTCCTCCACCGCCACCTCTTCCCTCACTCCAAAATGTCGTGGTCGTCCCGCCTCCCCTCCTGGGGGAGTCGCTTTAGCCCCTTCAGTCGGAGCCCTGTATCCCCAGTATCCCCCGCCGAAGTCTCCGAATCCGACTACTCCTATATCACCGCGTCCGATATCGACCGGCCTACCACCCACACAACTAGTACCCACACACACCATCACCACCACCACCACCACCACCGCTCTCCCCCCTTCGGCGACCCCCCTCAAGAGGTCCCCGGCGGCTCGCACACCGATGTCCTCCTCCTAAAACACCGCTCCGTCGCCTATCCCGTGCACTACCCCCGGGACACCATCGCCTCCGGGCATCTCCTCGTCGGCGACATCCGCTCCATGGCCGCCAAGAAGCTCTCCACCTCCCCCGCCGCCTCCACCGCCGCCTCCCCCATCGACCCCCGCCGCATCAACCTCCTCTACCGCGGCCAAAAGCTCACCAACGACGACCTCCCCGCCCGCGACGCCGGCTTCCGCAGCGGCGTCGACCGCTCCAACGAGATCCTCGTCCTCCTCTCCGGCCGACCTGGCAACGACGGCGCCTCCGACGACGACGCCTCCATCACCGCCTCCGACGCCGACGCGACGTCCGCCGCATCCAGCCCCAACGCCTCCAAGAAGAAACCCCGCAAAAAGCGCGGCAAGAAGGCCGCCGCCAAGGCCCGCCCATCGGACGCCGCCAGCGGCGCCTCCACCCCAGCGTCCAGCAGTTCCATCCCTCCCGCGCCGCCGTTCCCGCCCGCTAGCGACCCGGCCGGGCAGCTCGCGGCACTCACGCAGCATTTCCGGCAGGCGCTAGTGCCGAGCGCGGAGCGGTTCCTGAGCGCGCCGCCGGCGGACGCGGCGGCGCGGCGGTTCGATCATAAGCGAATCACGGAGACGATCTTGCAGCAGGTGCTGTTGAAGCTGGATGCGGTGGAGGTGGATGGGCGGGAGGATTTGCGGGCGATGCGAAAGGGGTTGGTGAAGGAGGTGCAGGGGTGGTTTGGGAGGCTGGATGATGTGGTGAAAGAGTGAAAGTGAAATGATTAGGAGCGGAAGGCCGGAGGTTTGCAGTGTCCGCCCTGTTTTGAACGGGGTTTCTCTACTCTTGGCTTTTGGATGTATGACGGACGTCGCTTGGGAATTTGGGTTGGATATGGCCCCCTGCAAGGCGTTCGCAGGGAGAATGATGCCGGTCTTTGGGCATTGTGCATAGCCTGTGTTACCCGGGAATATGGTAGGCATTGCACGGCTGCATTGAGCGGTACCGTATGATATCAAAAGGAATAGACCCAAAAGATTTGTTTTCCATATTCAAAATTGCGCCAACCTCGTTGGTGTGCGCTTTACATATTCTTCGTTCTCCCTGGATATCTGCTGCGTAAGACCTCAAAAATGCACGCAACCAGCGATTTCAGCAAACGTTAATTTTTGACATAATTTAGCCTGCTTCAAGCTCCGTAGAACTGAGACCTTCATTGGACTTTCCCCACCCCATTTTATCCAGCCCGTCTAGAAAGTCCAAGGAAGTCCGTCCTGAGTATCCAGCCACCGATCCCGAATGGAAGTGTCCGGCATCGCAGCTCCACCCATCCATCGTCTAGGCATCCTGTCGCAAAAGAGAAATGTGATCTTCGTTATCGAGGATATGCCACGGAAAACGTAGCCAGAGGAACCGGAAGGGAAAGGGCGTAAGTTGACGTGAGCCGAAAAGCCGAAAGATGAGGACGACGACGACGATGATGGTGATGATGATGATGATGATGATGATGATGATGCCCTTGATGACCTAAAATGCAAACCTCGGGAAACGGAGAAGGGTGGGAAATTCCAGAGTGAGAATAAACGGCGATTGATCGGGATCTAATAATGGTATATCCGCATCTATCAGTCCTGCGAGCGTTCAGGATCCTTCGACCTCCTCTTCTCGCCTCCTTTCCCTTTTCCTTGTCCTTTCCAATCCCATGCTCACGTCCACTTCCCTTCCTCTCCCCCCTCCGCCTCCCGACACCACCCACTCTCCATCACCTGCCCGATCGTCACCCGCTGCTCTACGTCGCGGTCCAGCATGCGCCGCACCAGGTCGATGCTCTCGTCCGACATGACGTACGGCACGCGCAGGTCGTGGTCCATGATCTCGTCGATGGAGTAGAACGGGTTCTCCTTGTAGATGATCGTGTACAGCAGGATGCCGAGCGCCCACACATCCTGCTCTTTGCCGCGGTAGGAGCGGCCGGCGAGGACTTCGGGGGCGGCGTAGTCTGGGGGGAGGGATTAGCGGATGGGTTCGGGATGGTTGAAGAAGAAGGAACTAAGAAAATATAGGGGGGACATACCAATCGTCCCGACAAACACATCAAACGGCCCGTTCTTGAGATACGCCGCGCTCCCGAAATCGATCAACTTGATATTCCCTTCCCCATCCAAGATGACGTTCTCATCCTTGATGTCGCGATGCACCACCTTCGCCTTCGTATGCAGATGATGCACCGCGCTGGCCACCTGCACGAAGATCTTCCGACACTCCGCCTCCTCCATGTTCACCCGCAGCTCGATGTAGTCGAACAGGTCCATCCCGGGCAGCCCGTGCGGAACCATGCAAATGTAGTAGTTCACGTCGTCCTCGAAGAAGTCGGACATCTCCACGATGTTCGCGTGCCGCAGCCCGTCGCGCCGGAGGTAGTCCAACACGTGGATCTCGAGCGGGACGGTGCCGAGGCGACGGTCACGCGTCCACGTGTCCACGAGGATCCGCCGCTTCGTAACGTACTTCACGACTACTTTGGAGTTAGTGCGCTTGAAGCGGCAGAGTTTCACCTGTCCGTAGGCGCCTTGGCCCATGTCCTCCAGGACGGCGAATTCCTCGATGGACTTCTTGGGCTTCGAGGGGGTGGGGTCGGTGGGGGGCACGATGTGGTTCCGCGCCGTGGCGTCGAGGGACGGGTGATCGCGGGCGTTGGTGACTTCAGCGGTGGCATGCACGTCGCTGGTGACGGGGGGGCTGGCGGTCGAGCGGAGTTGTTGGGTGAGGAGGGATTTCGCGGGAGAGATGTCGTGATTGAGAGAGTCGGGAACGCGCTCGTGTGGGAGTCGAGGCGATTCCTCGCGTGGAAAGTCGGAGGAGGCGCGCTCGCTTCCGCTGTCTTCGTGCTTGAGTACGACGACCCCCTTTTGACCAGGGCTGGGCTGGTGGGGTGGAGTGCCTGGACGGGAGACTAGTGGGGTGAGGGGACCTTCGCCATGGCTTGCGGCGTGGAGTTGGCGGGAGTAGGTGATCCAGAGTGCGTAGACGAGCTGGGAGTTTGTGTCGGGCGGTTGGATGTTCGGGTCGGATTCATCGACGACGACGTCGCTGACGTGGGAGCTGTGTGAGGGATGTGGCGAGCGACTCTCTTTCGGAGACGAGCTCACGACGCGCATTTGGCAGTCGACCATGATGTCTGTCCCAACGCGGTGTTTGGCTTTCAATCCGTGCGGTCGATTCCACGAGTCCTCGGCGAGTGATGCTGCGCTTGGGCCAAGGTGATCTCGTAAAGAGCGGAGTGCTCGAGCGCGTCGGAAGCTATGCTCGGGGACCACGATGCCGTCCGTCAATTCGACGGGCTCCTCTTCTTCGATGACCTCGAGGAGACGGCTAAACCCGGGAATGAGCTCGTCGATCGGCAACCCGGTGGGCGAAGGCTGGCCGAACAAGGCTGATGAGAAGACCGAATTGGCCGATGATACTGTCAGGTCTTCTGACGAGAGCACTACGATGCCGGCGATATGCGGGAATGATGAGATGCGGAAGAGCGTGTCGTAGGGACCGAGTTGAGGAGTGAGGGGAGTTTGTGGCCGTGAAGTGGCCGTCGCATCTGGCAAGTCTGCAGGTGAAGTGAATATCTGAACCGCTGACTCCGCGGAAACCGGCTCCATGGTGATGGGAATGTGAATGCCTGTGGTCATCTTCGCCGTGAAGTATGGCCACCGTTCAATTTGCTCCAGATCCAACGCCCCTGTGTTCGTTCCCTTTAATCGCGGAACGCCCTTCACCAACCGCAATAGGTCCTGTCCGCGCCGAATGCGTTCGACGCCCCAGATTTTGAGGACGTCGCCCCAGGCGCGTACAACGCATCCCGTTTCGTCCACGGCGACAAAGGCGGCGTCTTCGGCGATCTCTTCTAGCACCCAAATCAGGCTGCCACGCTTCTCTTTCACCCACAAGCTCGCGGACCCGACGGCACCATTCCGCTTGACGATCGGTACGACGTCACCGCACAACAGCACCCCTCTGCTATTCTCCTTCGAATGGCGACCATGCAACGGCGGATTCTCCTCTTGCGGCTTCGGTACTAGTTCTGGTGTAGACGAGTCCTTCCCATTGTTGCTGCGTCGTTTATTCGAGTATCGACTCGGTGGTTTCGACAACAATTTCGCAGTGACCCCGCTACCAAGTGAAGAGAGCAGCCCGCTCGCCGGGCTTTCCTGCCCTGATCCATTCCCTCCATTCCCTCCATTCCCAGGCGGACTCGCACCCCGACTTGACGCCGAGTCCTGACCCGGATCTTCCAGCTCCGCCATCAACTTCCCACGAAGCCAATCCCGACGCTCCTCTTTAACGACCTCGAGGATCCCAAGCTTCCGCACCTCGGCCCGCGTCACGCCGAAAACGAGACATGCAAGGTCGTTCGCCGCAGTGATGGTCCAGGGGCTCGCGGACTCGGTGGTGAAGATGGCTTGGGCGGCGGCGCGGAAGCGCGTTCCGTGGCCGTGGGGGGCGGTGGCGGCGGTGGCGCCGTGCGATCCGGCAAAGGAGCCGAGAGCTTGGAGGTTGGCGGTGGAGACGGCGGCGGCGGTGCGCGAGGGGGGGTGGACGGATTGGGGGTGCGTACCGGGTGGCTCGTTGACGTTGTATGGCTGGGCGAGGGCGTCGGCGAGGCGGGATTGGAGTTCGAGGGGGCCGACATCGGTGAGGGTTCGTTTGAGGGAAGCCCGGGGTGGGTTGAATTTCGAGACCTTGTGCTGTTCCATATTTGGCGGAGAGGCCTTCGGCGCGGACGAGGATATAGATCGCTCGTCTTCCTCCAGAATTACATTGCTCACGGCGCTCATCCGAATCGGTTGGGGATCGTTCAATGCCCCCGAAGCCCCGTCCCACGGCTCCAACTTCTGCAATTCCGGATGTCCGTCAAGCGACGATGTGGGGCTCTCCGTCTGCATACCAAAGCTTTTCTCAAAGATATTCTCCCCGCTCACATCCGCCGGCCCCGTCAATGGCCCTTGTAGCCCCAACCCTTGCGCCTCGATCAAATTCGCTCGGGCCAACAGCTCCATCATACTCTGTACCTCCTGATCCCCACTCATCCGGGCCTGCGCGTTCGCAAGGCCCTGATTCGATGCCGCCCAGCCCATCTTTGCGCCCATGAAGTCGATAGAGCGGCGCAGGACATTCTGGCGGTTATGCAGCAGTTCCTCGGACTGCTGCGCGAAGGAGAAGGAGTGGAGGGACTCGGAGGGGAAGCGGTTGAGGTCTTCGCTGAAGTGGAGCGCTAGGGAGGCGTGGCCGGGGTCGTGGGCAAACTGATCCCGCGGCGGGGGGAAGGAGAGGGTCATGGAGGAGGAGCGGGTAGTGGAGCCCGGTGTGCGGGCGCCAACGGGAGTGCGGGCGGGGTGTTGGCGGATGCGGCGAAGGCCAGACGATCCCAGGCCATGTTCGTGCTCGGGAATGATGGGCGTTCTGGCAGGTAAGGGTACAGTTAGACATGTTATTCCGCGTTCGATTAGCGCCATGACATCGTGGCACGGAGGCGATCGAAGTCCGGAGAGCTAGAGCCATTTGTCATACCTTGAAAGAAGGTCCAAACTATTCGCATCCAACGAAAATCGAGCTCTTGGAATGTCCAGCCCTGTCGCCCCGGCCTGCCTCAAGAGATTGCTGGTGCTTTTGTTCGTTCTGATTTTAATCTCGTCTTGTGATGTGAGGATATGGGTCGAGGGGGGGTTGGTTTCGCTGATACTCGGTTGTAAGGTGCCTAGAGTCACAAGATCGAAGTAAGCGGGAGGTTCGAATGAATGGTCCTGATGCTGAAGTATATGTTGCAATTGCTGGGGAAAACTAAGCACAACCAGATCTCATAATCTCGATCGAATCAGGAAACTGAGTACACATGCTCTATGCCACAGTGCCCCGGATTTGGTTACGAGGCACTAGATTATTCCCCATCTCGTCTGAGCCTATCTCCGCGGGAAGGTCGGATTACCCAGCCCACGGTGGCACCGAACCATCCAGGCCACGGAGCAAGGCGAGACGGGGATAACCGGTCCTTGGATCCCTCGGTGCATAGTATATAGACGCATCTTCCAAGAAAAGCCGCACGACTCACCATGATCTTCTGGCGAGGTCATCACCCTCTGAAAAGCAAAGCCGGGCGTCTGTCACAGCCAGCAGCGCAGGGCACAGGTGAGACGAGACGGAACCGGCGTGGGAAAGGCGGGATCGATATCGGGGGAGGTGGATGGTAGAGGTACAGTAACTCGGGTAGATGTCACTAGTACGGCGGATATATACGATTGCAAGTCTTTTCGAAATGGCTGGGTGATGGCGAGTCGAGAATTCGAGAGAACCGGAGGGGTCGAGCGGACTTGAGTCTTGGTACTTCGGGTCAGGTAGGGCAACTTGCGAGGATGATCATATAGGCGTGGTACCTATATCGGTGTCCAGGACAGGTTCATGAGGAAGCCCATGGGGTGACGTTGGGATGGAATATGGATGCTTGGGGGAGAAGCAAGCGGGGCGGAAATCGGACACAGGAGGTAATGATCACCGGCAGGGTTTTGGATGAGGGTAGTTCGAGAAGGGCCAGATGGTGAAAAGATAGATGTTCGAGCAAGGTAGATATCAAAGCATTGAAGAGAGCAAAGAGGGGATATGGGAGAGATGGACGATGCAGCGGAGATGCACCAAGCTGATCTGATCTGGTGGCAGTGCGGGATGAATGACTGACGGATGCGATGGAACGGAATGAGATCGTCGTGTGCGGTGGAGCTGCAGCCACGAACCAACAAACAGGAGTATCTGCAATAAATGACCTCCGTCAACCCTTAATCACCGTTACGGCGGATTATGTGACTAACTTTAACTATAGACGGTAATATGTCTGACCACTCATGTCTCCACGATGAACAGATGAGAAGTGTCGTGGAGGTGAAAAGGGAGAACCAGTGTCCCGCATCTGGCTTGTGATCAATTCCTGTCCACGCTGCAAGTCTCAAAACGATATTATATCGATTTCGATTCAATCCCTCCCGCCTGAAACACTCCCCAGATCCGTGACTCGATTCGACTCAACTCGACCCCAAAGTCCCAGATGACCCGATCTCGCGGACTCCTCAGATCACCGGTACATCCCAATATTACCCCCCGTTGGCGCTATTTGTGTGCCCCGAAGACCCTGATTCTTCAACGCAGTAGGGACGCCATCTGTTGCCCAGCCACGGGGTGAATCGGTGGAACCGCGCCGGCTTGATCCCCATCGATCGGCCGGTGGGAATCAGGAACCGGTAGGGTGCTCCGTCGCGTCCCGTCGACAGGACATAAGGCGTAGATACATAAATGACCCGGTAATGGGTTAGGGAACGTACCTATCTATCGTACTTCTCGATGAACAATATAAATCCGGTACAACTCGGGCGACGCATCCGTTCTGCACCCGCGTATATTGCCGTGCTGAGTTCTGACATTCCTACCATCCCACGTCGACCAGCGCGTCGGGACGCCTACAGCGCCATCGAGGAGCGAGGAGCCGCGGTATGCGTTGGATCATAGATGTAAGGCGGTGGAATCTGATATCGGGGATGGACGACAGGGGACGAAGGCTCCGATGGGGAGGTTGCTGTGCGTAAGTGGGTAGGTTCGTGCCGGACAAGGGAAGTAGAAGTAGAGTCGACGGCAAGCAGAAGACGAGGACTAGGTAGTTATAGAATATTTTAGATTAGAGAGCACCGATACATAAACCCCTGGCAATGATGATCGCGACCGTTCGCCGTCCAACCCTCGAAACGCTCGATATGAGGATTACGTCACAGATGATATTCAGGTCGCGACAGCTCTGCTTTTCTGTAGTACGACCACCAGCATCCACTCCGCAACGTTGAACTCTTGGTGCAACTTCGTCTCGGCCGGCAATAACCCATATCCCCGATCCCATCTCTGATAGCAGTGCTACCCATCAATTTGACTTCCTTCGCCCCACGAACCACGATCCGATCTCCCTCCCTCACCATAACGGCACTCCCCCATCCTCAT